CTAAGACATCTCCAAAAGTCTCATGATGGAAAATGCTATCTGTATCCAAAGAAATAACTATCAACTTTGAATGCAGATTGAAGCATAGTATTTGTTCTTTTTCTCTTCCATTTTATTTTGTTTTCTCTTTCTTGTTGTTTCTCATATTGTTTCTAATTCTTCCTTACAACATGACTAATGTGAAAAGATGTTTAATAGGAATGTATACTTATACCCTATATCAGATTGTGCACCATCTTGGGGAGGGAGGTGGGGAGGGAGGAGGAGAAAAATTTAAAACTCAAAAGTTTATGGAAGTGACTGTTGATAATTCAAAATAAATTAATAAAAAAAAGAAATGATGAGCAGAAAAATAAATTTTTACAGTGGCTCTTTCTGTGGTGGTAAAGAATTGGAAATTGAGAGGATGCCCATCAATTGGGCAATGGCTGAACAAGTTTTGCTATATGAATGTAATATACCACAGCAGGAGAAAAATTTTAAACTCTAAAGCTTATGGGAGTGAAAAAAAAAGAATTGGAAATAAAATGTTCATTCCATTACAGCAAAAATAAAGAAAGAAAAAAAGAAAAAAAAGGAAATAGTTTGGTTGAAGTCTAGAGTGCACTGAAAAGGAGTAATGTATGATATCAAGAAAAATGGGTTGGAGGCAGACCATTAAGGACTTTGAATGTCAGAAGAGTTTATCATTTATTCTAGAACAATAATCTCTATAGTTTGTTGAGCAGGAGAGTGACTTAGTATTACTTGTGCTTTAGGGATATCAATTTGGTAGCTATGTGGAAGCTATTGGATAGGACACTGGGAAGCAGAGAGACAAATTAGTCAATTGCAGTCATCAAGGAAAGAGGTAATGGTGGCCTGAAAGATGGTGGAAAGGGGCCTTGAATGGACAGAACAGTTGCAAACATATTATGAGTAATCAGTGGGAATTGACAAGTGACTGGATATGGGACATGGCAAGTGGGAAGAGTCAAAGATAACTCAGAAATTAAAGACATAAATAAATGGAAGTATTGTGGTGCTCTTGAAAGAAACAGAAAAGTGAGAAATCAAGGAGGTTTGTGGGAGTGGTGGATAATTAGTTTTGTTTGCTGTATGTTCAATTTGTTATACTTATGAGACTTTAATGAAGAGATGTCCAGAAGGCATGGGGTGATGCAGTATTTGGTGATCAGTAAAGAGGTGAGGACTGGAGTATATCAGCCTAAAGACCATAGGACACGGCTGATGAACAAGTGGAGACCAAGAATAAATGGTCACATATACAGAAGATAAAGGAGGAGCATAATGTGGCAAAAACCTGGGAGGATAAGAATATATTGGAAGAAGTAGTAATTAGCAGTTTCAAAAATTGCAGAGATGTCAACAATGATGATGACTGAGAAAGAAAAATGGGTACTGATTTTATAAGTTAGAAATTATTGGTAACCTTGGAGAAAGCAGCTCAGTTGAGTGGTAGAGTTGAAAGAGAAATTGCAAGGGTTGAGAAGTGAATGGGATTCAAGGACATAGGTGCACTAAGAATAGATAGTGTTTTTGTGTTGTTGTTTTTTTCTGGGAGTTTGTGGGTGAAAAGCAGGAGAGAGATCATAAAACAGACAGTAAATGTCAAGAGGAGGTTATTGGAGAGTGAAGAGGAGATATGGAAATATTTACTTCATTTATATCAAGTATGGAAGGAAGAGAGAGAGATAGAGAAAGAGAGACAGAGACAGACCATGATAAATGACAGGCATCCAGAGAAAATTAAAAAGTTGAGGAACTAAAACACAGGTAAAGAGATTGAACTCACAAAGGATAAGGACTAACTCTCAGAGACTGGAGCAAAGGAGAAAAGAATGTGGGTTATGGGGACATGAATTATGGAAATGTGGGGAAAAGAGAACTCTTGGCAGATGACCTGAAGTTTGTCATTAAAACATGAGGTGAGACCTTCTGTCAAGGGTGTGTGGGGGCAGGGAGTGTGGGAGAGCATTTTGTAAGTGGTTTGAGAAAAATAAATTTTAGAACAGATGTTCTGTGCCATGTGATGAACAGAGAACACTGAAAGACTTTTCACACAGATAGGAAAATCAATTTGAGATTAGGGAAAGGGATTGTATCTGTGATTTCATTGTTGAAGGGATCTGCTAGGAGAGGAAATTTACTCTACCAATACAGTTCAGCAACTTTCCTATCATCTATAAGCAGAGCAATGAGAGTTTACTTACTTACCCAGGGTCACATAAACAGTATATACAAAAGGTGTGCCTTGTTCTCAGATTTTCTTGGTTCTTTACTTTATTGTTCCACATCTCTATAGGGTGACATACCAGGTTTTTTTTTATTTGTATGTATTATATATACTATAAGTCTGCTAAAGTAATTTTTAAAGATTAATTTTGGTTTGACTCTGGGGTTGTCTAAATACACAACTATACAATCTGCAAAAAAAAGATAGTTAATTTCTTCTTTGCCTATAAATAAGTTGAGATTAGTTCAAATAAATTTATAGTGAATTAAGTCAGAATAGCTGTGTGTTCTCTTCCATCAGCATTCTGTTGCATCACACTACCTCTTACCTCAAGGAAAGAATATGGATAGTGAAGGCAATTCAAAGCTAGGTGATTGGACATGGAATCAAAGGATTAGAAGTCAGAGAACAGCAAAATTTATATAGTCAACATTTTTAAGGGTGAAAACCAGGGCTGCAGAAGTATTGAAAGCAGGAAGAGGTGGATCAAATTAAAGTTGCAGCAAGGATGGAAAATAGTTCTAGGAGGGCTGATGTACAAGGAGACATGGAGGAATAAGATGTTAGAGAGAAAAATCTCAGTTCTGGAACATGAAATTTGATAAGATAGTATATTTGTCCCTGCGAGTCTGAAGTAGAATGAAAGTGCAAGCCATTAGAGTTGAAGTTGATGAACTGGAAAGCCAATCTCTGTCTTAGAGATAAAAGAACTTCAATAAGAAAATCAAAGTTCCAAAGCATAAGGCAAGGGGTTGGGGTGAGGTGGAAGACTGAACTAGGTAACAAACTTCCTCAGAAAAGAGAGAAATTGCCTTTTGGCTCTAGGAGCTACCTGCTTCATGTCAGAATGGACAAGTTCATGAAACCTGGGAAGGTGGTGCTGGTTCTGCCCAGGCAGTTGTCTGGGTGCAAAGCTGTTGTCATCCAGAACATTGATGATGGGACTTCTGACAGGCCCTACAGCCATGCCTTGGTGGCAGGTATTGACCACTACCATCTCAAAGTGACTGAAGCAATGGGCAAAAAGAAGATTGCCAAGAGATCAAAAATCAAGTCCTTCGAGAAAGTTTATAACTACAACCACCTCATGCCCACTAGACACCCTATGGATATCCCATTGGACAAAACAGTTGTCAACAAGAATGTGTTCTGGGACCTTGCACTAAAACGTAAGGCGAGGAGGGAGGCCAAAGTCAAATTTGAGGAAAGGTACAAGAGAGGCAAAAACAGGTGGTTCTTCCAGAGGCTATGGTTTTTGCACTACTTTATTGGTCAGTAAATAAAATGTTCATTAAAAGAGAAAAAAAAAAAGGAAAGGAGAGAAATTGACATGGGGAACTGGTAGATAACTGCCAACATTGTTTGGATGTGGTGATAAATCTGAAAACAGCAAATCCAGAAGGAAATTGATGAGAAAGTTAGGCCTGATGCAATTGCAGGGAGTAGGCTTTCCCGTTTTACTGTCTCTGTGTGTCAGAGGGCAAGAGAAAGGGAGCATCCAGTAGTACTGACAGGTGTGGAAAAGAGTGCAGATTATTCAAGGAGCAGCCAGGTTACTATGATAGCAAGGAGATAGAAGGAGGGGGAGAAGGAAACAATAAAAGGGATATTTTGTTCATAACAGAAGAGAGTTCCAGAGGGCTCAGTCACAGAAGAGGACAAAGGAGACTGAGAACAGAGATGAAGTAGGGCTATAGTTGCAGATGGGGGAGCAGCAGGGATACAATTATAAATGGGGCACCATGGCACCTATTACATTTTTCTCAGCAAGCCACAGTAACTCAAGTCCAGGCCTCAGCTAGCACATTTCTTTGGCTATCTATTTAGGCAGGAACGGTCAGGGAGAGTCAGGTTCTGAGGCTCTGAACAGTTGTGGTGTTTAGGAGATCTCTTTGTATAAACTGTTCATGGGCAGTACATTTTCTACCTCCCCATTCCCCTGTCAGAAGGAACATCCCCACCAGGAGTACCAGCCCAGACATTTAACAGTATAAAGGCCTAGAAAATACAAAAATAGTATACTCTTCTAAAAACCTTTGTGCCTGAGACAATATCAGGGGACAATGGAAAAAGAGACAGTTTTGGAAATAAGCAGGGGAAGAGTCATATTTTCCTTGATGTGAATATGTAGACACTCCTCCCTTCAGAATGTTAAGCAACACACCTTCAATAAAATACCTGAAATAATAATGTAAAATCAATTCTGAATGCCTGGTCACAGAAGTAAGCATTTGAATTATGAATACTTATTGCTCAGACTTACAACTTATAGTCACTTGAATATTAAATGTGGCATGATCCAGGGCTTATTTTCTGAATGGGTAAAATTGCTTTTACTGGTGTGTCCCTAACTTCCTAAGAAGTGTACATACTAAAGCTAGAAAAACCCAGAAACTGAGCTTTAACTCCCTCCCAGACTCTTGGTCGGCCCAGTTAGAGTTAAATCCCATACTTCTCTCTCTCCCCTTCCTCATTCCTTATTAGGCAATTTAGAAAATACCCTCATTTTATTGGTCCCAACTATACTACAATTCCCCCCTTATGGATGGCAGAATAATCTCCTATCGGTGCCAATCAATCTTTGTCTAAAATACTACATAAATTTGAGTGCCAAAGGCCTCTGGGCTTTTGATCAAATGGAGTGTTAAAGCTGTTGGGAAGTTCCATGTCAGGAAATCACCATTCCATGTGTTGTTCTCCACTGCAGGTAATGGGGAATACATATAAAAATAATGTTTCTTTTGATACCTGTTATCTTGTAAGTAGTAATAAAGTTGGGTTAGCTGTCATCCTTGCATGGCTCTGCTGCTCTTCATCCAAATTCTCCCACACCAAAATGGCTCCCAGGCTGTGCACGTTACTTCCCTCAGGGGCCATCAAATTATTATGAAGGCTCCACCTCATCAAACTGACCCAGTATAATAAGTGAGAAAACACATCTGGTATAGACTGAATAAATTTTGATAGCTAACATTTCTATGGCAATTTAAGATTTGCAAAATTGCTTTAGATTCTCACCAGCTACTTCCAAGAAACTTTTCAGATAGATATTATATCCCCATATGTTACACTTGAAAAAAACAACAACACTGGGAAGTAACTAAGGCAGGAATAGAACTCAAGTCTTTCTAAGTTTACATGCTGAATTCTATCATTATACTATTCTGCCAATAAAATATGAATATTATATGAATATATACATACACACATATACACATATTATATTTATGGTTATATAAATATCTTCTTTCAAATGAATATATATACATGTTCTGTTATGATTAAATTTATATTTATAAATTCACTGAAAATCATTACTGAATTCTTAGTACCTTTAAAAACAAACAAACAAAAAACCTCCATGCTTCTGAGCAAAGAAACTGTACAAATTTAGGAGGTTTTACTTGGTCATGTGAGTGAGAGATTTCATTTTATCTTATTCATATGATTAGGGCTTATCTAGACATACCAGATCATAGCAAGGAAGAAGGTGGAATATTCCCGGTGGATAAGGCCTCATGACTTAATTTGATTTGATATATCCACATTGATCATACCCCTTTTGATGAACAAGAGGAGAAGCTGTCAAACAGAAAATATGGAATCAGAGATAGTAAGAATATCTGCTTCCTGAGAACTTTAGAGAAGTTTCTTTAGAGAAACTTTAGAGAAGTCTTCTAGGGTTCCCTCTGGAGACTGCTGCACACAGCTATGTGCTTCTTTGAGCTTGTGACTGCCTTGGGTCTCATTCTTAAAATGAGCAACATCAGACTAGTAGTTAGAATTGTCACCTGGTGATTAAGCTAATTATTATGAAGTTGTAATCCATGAACTTCTTTGACACTATGAGGATTTTCATTCTTTAAAAAAGTTAGGACTCATTAGTGAACTGGAAAAGCTATGGAATTAGAGGGACAATATCGAACTGAAATACAATTTCTGCTATCTGCTGCTACTTACTGCTTCAATCTCTTCTCTCCTTCTTAATGAGCTTTAATAAATTCCTCCTTTGTAAAAGAGTCCTTGTTTCTTTAAATCAAAATCCTATCATCATAGTCTTATACTCCAAAGTATCAAAGCATTTAGTATTTTTTTCTCATCAACTAGCGTTTATTATATACTCCCCAAAAGTACAGACACTGTGAGATATAAATACTCAACTTACTGATATCTATTTGTATGAACGGCTGGCCTGCAGTGGGGGCAGAGATGAATATCCAAAGAACCTACAAGAGATCTTTAAAAAACAAAATAAAACAAAACAAAATTCCCTGAACCTCTCTATTTCCTACTCTATTTCCTGCTGCTGATGTTCAGCTAAATCTTTAGTTACATGGATCATTTTGTGAGATGGACTGGCAAGCTAACCCTCATTTGTAATCTATTCTTATGGGGAAACAGCATGCTTCAAACAACATGGACTTTCATCACACCAAAACCATATTGGTTAGGCCTGCCTATATCAAAATGTCTTTTCCCAAAATAAGCATACGGTTTTTTCTTCCTTTACTTTCCTAGATTAATAATTAGGATGGTTTTGTTTTCCTTTGAAAATTCAGAATCCAAATCCATGTCTCATGAGGTATACACATATATTTTGTTTCACTTAACTTTTACTTTTTGTCAGCTGCTCCTACATTAGGAAAGGTAGAGAAGCTGAATTAACACTTTTGTAGAAATATATTTCTCCATATATCCAGGCAGTAAAAAAAAAAAATTAAAGATTGCAATTTAGTCTAGTTTTATTACTTATGCATGAGACATGCAGTTTAACCAATTTAAATTAATAGTGTAAGTGTTACAAAGATAAAGCAGTAAAGAATTTTTTCAAGTCAAACAAATACAATTTGTAATGGAATATCTTTTTTTAGCATTAATAAAAAATAACTTTAATTATTACTTGCTACCAAATGGGGAAATATATCCTGATTACATAAAAATTTTCTTTTGTTTTTCTGTCAAAATCCATATTTCCAGTCTTGTTTATTTCTCTTGCAAGTACTCTTACAAAAATGCTTTAATACTTCTGAAATATCAACAGGGTAGATTATAAGTACAATATTACTTATTGCACATATTCTATTCAATTTAGTAAATGAAGTAAAATACCTTATGTAAAGCACTTCATAAGCCTTAAAGTGCTATATGAATGTTAGCTATCACAGTCATCAACATTATTAAATAACATTCAAAAGTTGCTATGGCAAAAATAAAAAGGCATTATATTGTGAACAACCTGTTGAGAAATTTATCTAGATTTAACTAGCTTAGTCACTGGAATATAGGCATATTCATGCTTCTCGATGAGACTTCTATAATTCCCTGGTACCTCTCATAGCTTATACTTTACTAGAATAACATTGAAGAACCCAGAGTCACTTCCATGATGAAAATTCAATGTAAAGACTTAAAGGACTTTTTTTAAAATCATAAGATAATTTGAAATCTGGGTATTTCACTTTCTTGTGCAATTACAAAGGGGGCATTTTTATAGGCAGGGGAGAGAAATGACTGTTCAGTTTTACTTTTGACTTGGTAACTTGGAAATCTCTAAAGTTGAAAGCTAATTTGAATTTATTGGAGAGAAGGATTTCTCAGAAAGACAAAGTTCAATATATATAATTCAATTCAGTTAGGAATGATCTAATATAGATAATTTTAGTTCAGGATACATAATTCAATAAAATTAATAATACATTAACAAAGATTTATTAAGCATTTTTATGTCTGTTTTTGTGGTACAAATACACTGAAGGAACAACAGCAAAAACAGATCAGTCCCTATACTCAAGGAGTTTGTGTCTGACATCCTTCTCAGGGAAAACAGCATATATACATATAAGTAAATACAAAATATATGTAGTACTTCTGCATATATTAAGCTAGCATTTCTATAGGTTTTGTATTTATGTGTAATTTTGTGAGAGCTCACACATATGTGTATAAGAACTGTCTTCAATTATTTGAAAAGTTGTTATGGAAGAGGAAGGTTAGATTTGTATTATATGCCCCTAGAGGAAAGAATGAAGAGCAATGGGACAATGTTGCAGGGGTAATTCTAATAAATGTAAGGTACCAAGAATATAAAAATAAAGCAGGTTTTGGATTTTACTTTTATGCAATGGAAAACCTCCTAATAATTAGAAACATTCAAATCCATAATAGGAAATAGTGGGTTCCCCTTTATGAGCAGTATCTAATACAATTCTTAAAGACAATTTGCTTCTCATGTTGTGGTGGAAATTTTTAATTTAGGCATAGGTTTGACTAGATGGCTACTGAGGTTATTTGAACCTAAACAGCATCTATGATTCTACCCAAAAATGCATATGGATGTAGATGAACTAATTGCTGGCTTTCCATATGCATAATATAACATAATATATTTATATACAAACATGCATAGAAATACAAATGCAATAAATTTTCCTTCCCTGAATTAATGAAAAAACATATATAAGTGGCTATAGTTCTATCTAACTGCTTTTTAAAAAATGTCCTGAAGAGTCCAAAATCCCCATAAATGGGAAATGTTTGAAGCATCTCCTTATCTTCTTGGAAACATGTCTCAAACCCTAAGAGCACCTTCTTTTCACGGGAAGGATTTGATTCCCACCCTACCTCTAAGAGTCCTGACTTCAAATACTCTCTCCCTACTCTTCCAATGACCGTCAGATCAGGCAGTTCTTTTTAACATCTATATTGAACAAAAATCTGAAAGTGCAAATTTTATGAGGACCAATATGCTTGACATAAAAGATAGTTCCTAGTTCCTCAATCATACTCGGGGTGGGGGGGGACGGTTAAATAGCTTTAATAATAATAATGACTACATTATTGTTAAAGCTGTAAAAAGATTTTTGGATCAACTCTCCTCATATAAAGAATAGCTAGGTGATCATCTCTCTCTTAGTTTATTACTATATAATGATCATTGCTCCCCACAAGGAAAAGAGTGATGCTTCAGGGGCCTCCCATAAGTTTTTTTTTCTCCTGAGAATCATAGACTCTTCATGACATTGTAAAAAGGATTTTAATTGAATTACATCCATATAGACCTACTATTTCAAAGATTTGGGGAATACACTGTGTATGTGTATACGTCTGCTACTTTGCTCATTTTCCTTATTAATTTTCATTCCAAGTTCTAATGTCATTAAATGGTAAGTTTGAATATGTCCTTGTTAATTTTTAAAGTTTCAATGTTTCACAATAAATAAATAATTAGCTTTGAGTCTCTGATTTAGTTTTTTTATCTCCTTATTGTTGATATTTTGTTTGATGATATCTTGCTCAGGCTAAAAGGGGGGTCTGTAACCACTCTGTTTCTCCACCTCGGCCTGGTTTACTCTACTTAGGTATCCTACAGACCTTCTGTTCACTGGAGCTCACCATACTGGTGATTGACATGGTGTACATTAAGCCTCAATGCAGCTCAGAATTCCTGATCTTAAGGAGTGCACCAGACTTAATCTTCCCCAATAGCAAGGATTGTAAATATAAATTATCATATCCAGACCTACCCTAGTTGTCAAATATTACTTATTTAATCAAGAAAAAAATATTTCCCATAACTTTTTCTGCTTATCAAATCTCCCTAATATTTTATACTTAAATCAGCATCACAGCTCACTATACTATTTATCAACAGTGCAACAAACAAAGAAAAGAAAAACAAAGATATAATTACATATCATCCATGAGAGTGATCATAGTCAAAGTTATCTTTAGTCATCATTGTAACAGCTGACTTCTTACATTTGGAAATGCAGTGTTACTGTTCATTTCTTCAGGATACCAATTAAAATCCCTTCTTAATAATTCTCATCATGATACTTCAAAAGGTATTGATTAAACTCAGTTATCTCAAGAAATAGGTTCTCTGAGTGCTTTCTCTCTGTCTTCTGTGTACATTCTGACTGTCTTTCAACACTGACAGTTATAACTTTCAGTACAGAGTCCTCAGAGGATGACAGTTAATCAGTAACTTCCCAGATTTCATTAGTTCTTCAAGATACAGTAGCAATATCTGTAATCTCATTGAAAGTGGATATTAAAGCTTACATTGCATTAACATCATTGAATATTATATTATCATCACTAATAATGATGAAATTTTAGATTAATTGAAGTTTACAAAGAATCTTTCCTAATTCCTAGACAAATAACTGACATTTACATAGTGATTTAAAGTCTATCATCTTTTACATGTATGCAGGGCTGTTTTTTTTTTTAACAGTCTCTACCACCACGTTGTTTGAGGTAAAATAATAACAATTGTCTTGAATTCTTCTAAATGAGAATATGGTCTTTTCTCCTTGTTCATCATGAATAAATGCATTTACATTAAAGTCAGTTCTAATTTAATAGAGGAATATAGTCTATGGAGTTTTAACTTCTAAGTTGATTATGCCAACTTTTTAACTTTCACTAAATATGTTTTTCTTCTATGATTTTCAAGACATTGTAGTGGCACAAAATACTTTTAACTGGTGAGGCACATTACACTTGTCATTTCATTTTATTCTCATAATAGCCTTGTGTGATAGCTAGGGAAAGGGAAGGGAACGGAATAAATATTTCTTTAGTACCTACTATGTACGTGGCACTGTATTAAGCACTATTTAGTACATATTATGTCATTTGGTCATCATAACAATACTTTGAGATAGGTGCTATTATTATCTCCTTTTTACAGTTGAGGGAATTGAGGCAAATAGAGGTTAAATGACTTGTCCAGGATCACACAGCTAGTAAGTCTCAGATATTAGATTTTTTCTTCACTCTGTGCTCAGGGCTCTATGGAGAATCATACAATGAGTAAAGATTAGTATCAGAATTTAAATCTAAGTGTCTGTTCATATTTACTGCAGCAATCTTTCTGTTTCAGCAAACTACTCTTTTAAGATATCTGAAATTAAGTTTCAAATAAGCCTTGTTACAAAAGCTAACATAGGCAGATGCCTATACATTGCTTTGTGAAACCACTTCAACCAAATGTTTATATTTGAATAGTATAGAACTATTTCTTTTCTCCCTAATACCTTTGAATACATGGTGAATTTATAGATAAGCAAAATTGCATGATACTTCAACCTAATTCTGAATAAAAGTTTGTAAACAATTGCCATTTTAAAAAATTTCATTTTACCACCTGTATATTTAGAAGCATGTAATTTAGAGCTGGAAGCCATCTTTCAGATAATCTAGGTCAATTATTTAATTTTAAAGTTGAGGAAAACCAAGTCTAAATGATGAGACTATTTCCCTGGGCCCCAATTTCCTTAACAGTAAGATGAGAAGGAAGAACAAGAAGGCCTATCCAATTGTAAAGCAGTGAGTTTTGTTCCATGACTCAAAGGTCTTTTTTGTTTCCAAGAGAATGTAAGCTCCTTGAGATCAGAGACTGTTCATTTTTGTCTTCATATTTCCAGTGAATAACAGTGTCTGGGACATAATAGGTGCATAATAATTATTTGTTAATTGATTCTGACTCCATGCTCAGTATTCAAATCGCTACTCCACAACGGTTTCTTGTTCCATTACTTTCTCTTTTCCATGAAACAGAAATAAAATAACAGCCAGCATAATATGTGAAATTCTTCTGTTTCTTTAAATTTGGCTAAAAATGGGCAACTTTGGAGTTGCAGTAGGGAACTTACAAGAAGAAGCTACTTGATGAGATTGTAAGAGTAATGCTCAGACCAGAGGATTAGATAAAACATTTACATATGCAGGAGTTTAATTAGACTTTCAGAAATTCATTAATCATTGGTTTTTCAAGTGTCTTCCTTTGCCCTTGGCAGAAAGCAGAGTGAAGGAACCTCATTTAGTCCCTACTTGGAGGGAAAACTTCTGGCCCAGAGTAACTTTCTGATTAGAGTGGCAAAAGAAAAATAGAATTCCAAACAACTCATAAAAGGGGCATTAGCTTTTAAATAAATCCTTGGAGGCACCCATAAATTTTGATTAAGGACTATATTACTTCTTAAAGAAATACCTACAAGTTGCATTCTTTTCCAAACATTCCCCTTTCAATGTTAATGGAAGGATTAAATTGTGAGTACTTTGGCCACCGCTGTGGTGTGGTAGCTACAGGGCTGGCCGTGGAGTCAGGAAAACCTGGGTTTAAGTCTTACTTATGATACATTTTGGATTTTGACCTTGAGCAACTCATTAATCTCTCAGTGGCCTCAGACTACCCTAAGACTATAAACTGGAAATTGGTTAATGGTTTCCTCTGGTAGAGAGAGTTGTTGCCTGGTACATCCCTATGCCAATGAAATCACAGGAGAGAGAGAAGGAAGAAGGAGGAGGAAAAGGAAGAAGAGGAAGGGAGGGAGAGAGGAATGAAGGAAAAGGCAGGAGGGAGAGAAGGAGGAGGGAAAGGAAGAAGTGAGGAAGGGAGAAAGGGAAGGAGGGGGAAAGAGAAGAGATCTTTGAATCTTTGAGGTATTGTTCCTCTGGTTCTTTAAGGATAACTTAACTTTTGAATTATTCATATAAGGGAATACTGTCAACAAGAGGGGGGAAAAGTCATTTGACAACTTGAACACGCAACTTCACTTGAGCTGATGCCATTGTATACTTTCCAAAACTAAGTATATAAGTTTAATTTTTCCCACTTATTATTCACTTGAATGATTACTGATTTTCACTTGCACAGGTAGCCAATAAATGCTAGGAAAAAAGTTATCTCCTTATATTCAGAATTTGGGAACAAAATTATCAAGAGTTTCTTCTTTGAAGGATCGCATTACTTCTTGTTTGAAAAACAAGTTCCCCTTTCTCTAAATGGGTGGATTTATCTTTTTCAGAAATGCTCAGCTTACCTTAGAAGCAACTTTCCCCCAATTTTCAGCTTACAGTGATAAATTTGTGGACTCAGAGCTTAAAAAAACATTAAAGTTCATCTATTCACCATTTTATAGAGGGGGCAAATGAAACTCAGGTGACTTGTTCAAGGTCACACAGCTAGTTAGTAGAAAAGCCCCAACTAGAGCTAAAGTTTCCTGTCTCCAAGTTTAGTACTCTTTCTCTTTTATAACACTGCAAGCATATGCTTGTGTGCATACACAGATATGTCTATATATGTATATATATAAACATGTTTGTACATATAATATGAACATGTATATATATTTGTCTATTTATACAGACACAGAGGCAACTAGGTTTCATAGTGGATAGAGCACTGGGCCTGGAGTCAGTAACATATGAGTACAAATCCAGACTCATATACTGGATTGTTGCCTTGGATAGGTCACTTGACCTCTGTTTGCTTTAGTTTCCTTAATGAAAAATGAGGGTAATAATAGCACCTACCTCCAAGGGTTGTTGTAAGGATCGAATAAGAAAATATTTGCAAAATGGTTAGCACAATACCTGCAACATAGTAGGTGCTATTTAAATGCTAGCTATTATTAATATCAACATTAGTGATTGTTTCATAGGTGAATATATAAATACATATATATGTATGCATGCATGTATACATCCTTATATGAAGAAACTGAGGCTAAGAGAGATTATGTGACTTGTCCAGTCATAGAGCTAGTAAGTGTTTGACACCAGATTTGAACTCAGAACTTCCTGACTCCAGTGCAAGTTCATTGTTCCCCATCCCTTTTTGGTGCACTTCATCCCCAGCCAAAAGTAGTGAACTAGAAATTTGACTTCCATTCTTATTTGCTACCTTTTCTTTTCCTTTCGGTTTCCCCATACCTAATTAGCGGTAGTAATTAAACCATTATTTGTGCCTCCATAAGCTTCATTTTCTCACCCAGAATATCATATTCTAACTTCCCAAGGTTCTTCATATTGCATCACTTCTTCTTACAAAAAAATGAATACACATGCCTACATATCACACTTCTATTGTTTGAGGCTGGATTTGTACTAAGGTTTTCCTGATTCCAGGCACAGTGACAACTAGCTTCCTCTAGGTGTGGATAGATAGACAGACAGACACACAGACAGATAGACAGACAGACAGACAGACAGACAGACAGACATATAGATAGATAGATAGATAGATAGGCAGATATAGACACATGTACAAATGTATGTAAATATGCACACACATGTCTATGTACATAGATGTATCTGTATATGTATCTATCTAATGATGTGTCTATCTACACAATGTAAACGAATGTGTATATATACATATATATGTATATGTGTGGGGCTATCTCCAGTTGCCTTGACTTCTATCTTGCCACTGGACCCAGATGGCTCTGGAGGTGAAAGTGAGGCTGGTGACTTTGCATAGTCCTCACTCCCTTCAACCCAATTCACATGCAGGTCATGGCATCACCTTCCTGATGTCATGGCCCTCTTCGAGAATGAAAGACAAACAAAGACAAATCATATGTGTGTGTATATATGTACACAATGTATGTATATAAGTGTATATACATATATACATATCATACAAACACAGGCATACATGTATGTGCGTCTGTACATGAATATATTTGTGTGTGTATTTGCACACATATATTTGCCTTCAGCAGGGGTTTTTAAGAGTCTGTGCACTTTTTTACTCTACAATGTTTCAATATAATTGGTTTAAATTGAAAAACAAACATGGATTTTATTTTATGTATTTAAAACATCATTTTGTGGGAGACCATAGGCTTCACTAGACTACCAAAAGTATCCATGACACAATGAAGGTCAAGAACCTAAATGTTGAAAACATGAGAAAAGAGACATTAAACTAAAAAGATGGAAGATGGGGATTTTGGAAAGAGAGGGAAAGAAAAAAATGTATTTATAATATAATGTAATAAATATAAGAAATATAATACAATACAACTAAGATAAGACAATATACACAGAGGATGGTAAGCCATCTAGTCAACAAGCATTTATTTAGCAGTTTTTATGTGTCAGGCACTGTGGTAA